AACAATGTGCTCAGTTGTTCAGTTGTGTCCAACTCTTTGCGACCCCATGGACTGTAGCCCACCTGACTTCTCTGTCCTTGAGATTTTCCACACAAGAATATAGAGTGGGTTGCCATTTCCTCCTCCAGGGGATCTTCCTGACCCAGGGATTGAACCCACATCTCCTGCATTGGCAGGCAGATTCTTTACCACTGCATCACCTGGGAAAAGCCAAAGAAACAGTAATCTGATATAAATCAAATAGAACAAATGAATGTAAATTAATGGTCTTTTAAATATGCCATATTCACTTATAAGAACATGCAAGTTAAAATTAAATAGATATTATCAGATTTATCCGTTATCAGTTTGGCTGGAAAAGAGTAAAGAATTGAGTGCAATCTCATAAACAACAAAATGATCTCAGTTTGTTTCCAGGACAAACCATTCAACATCAAAGGAATCCAAGTCTATGCCCCAATTAGTAATGCTGAAGAAGCTGAAGTTGAAAGGTACTATGAAGACCTAGAAGACCTTCTAGAACTAACACCAAAAAAAAGATGTCCTTTTCATTGTAGAGAACTGGAGTGCAAAAGTAGGAAGTCAAGAAATACCTGGAATAACAGGCAAGTTTGACCTTGGAGTACAAAATGAAGCAGGGCAAAGGCTAACAGAGTCTTGTCAAGAGAACACACTGGTCATAGAAAACACCCTCTTCCATCACAAGAGATGATTCTACACTTGGACATAACCAGATGGTCAATACTAAAATCAGATTGGTTATATTCTTTGCAGCCGAAGATGGAAAAACTCTATACAGTCAGCAAAAACAAGACCTAGAGCTGACTGGCTCAGATCATGAGCTCCTTATTGCAAAATTCAGGCTTAAAGTGAAGAAAGTAGGGAAAACCACTCATTCTTTCAGGGTGTTATGACCTTTATGAACTTTCAGGCTGTTGTAGCCTTTATGACCTAAATCAAATTCCTTGTGATTATACAGTAGAAGTGACAAATAGACTCAACAGATTTGATCCAATAGACAAAGTGCCTGAAGAACTATGGACAGAGATTCATAACACTGTATAGGAGGCAGTGACTAAAACCATCCCATAGAAAAAGAAATACAAGAAAGCAAAGTGGTTGTCTGAGGAGGCTTTACAAATAGCTGAGAAAAGAAGAGAATAAAAAAGGCAAGGGAGAAAGGGAAGGATATATCCAACTGAATCCAGAATTTACATGAAGTGATGAGACTGGATGCCACGATCTTCATTTTTTGAATGCTGAGTGTTAAACCAGCTTTTTCACTCTCCTCTTTCACCCTCATCGAGGTCAAGAGACACTTCAGTTCCTCTTCATTTTGTGCCATAGTTTGTATCATCATATCTGAGGCTTGAGTAGGCATCTTTTACTGTGTACTCCATATGCTCTTGTAAATTTTGAAGTTCATACAATGTGAATGGATCACCAAATGAAATGTTATATGATTTTATTTAAGAGAAAATGGCCAAAAGGAAGGAGTATGAGGGAGAAGCATATAGAAATGTACATGAGTTGTACTTTTAATTTGGGAGATGACAAAGTATTTCACAACGGGAAACCCCTGATAATCTACCAGTGGATTATAGGGCCAAACAGAGGGAAAGGGGAAACTGAATGTGGAAAACCAGAGTAGTCTCCCTGGTGGCTGCAAGTTGAGCATCAGTCAGCCCTACCACCGGCTGCACACTGACTGTGATGGACAGAGATGTTCGAAGTCAAAGCACTGCAGGTCAACCATAAACTCAGAACAAATTATTCTCCTTTTATTCTAGGCACCTCAGGTGAAAAAATTGGCTTGTGTCATCTTTAGGGAACTTCGAGATAATTTAATATGATTTCCTCATTTGAAGAACCAAAACCAGTAGAGATTAAGGGATCTGCCCAGGTTCGTAGAGCTGATTAATAGAAGGGCTGAAACAAGTCCCACTGGGCCAAATAAATACATTTGGGATGGCCTAATGAATAAATGAATGACTGTTCCAACACCAGCATGAAACTAATTCCAAATTGGACCTGCTGAGCATTTAGATGCTCCATACATTTGCTCAGTCATACAGTCAGGAACTGATTGTCCACAGTAAATATTCACTCAGATGTGCCCCACTTTATAGGACATGCAAGGCTACTTTACATATAGATTTGACTAGATTTCAAATATATAAGAACAAATTTTTTAAAAAAGTAAGTAAATTTTCTGAAAAAAGGTATAATCCAATTTATCTGCTGTAACATTCCAAATTTTCATACATAAAATTTGCTCACATGGGTCTTCCTACACTAAGTGAACTGAAAGAGTTAATTAATAAAGCACCCATCCTTCCTGTGCAAACAGAGCCCAGAAACCCCCACTGTAGAGTGTGCATTTTGAGCGGCAATTGCCAGTGCACCTGCAAAAACCAAAGCTCAACTCTCTGTATGTGTTGTCCGTGATATTTTCCTCTGTAGACTGAACATAATATTTTATAAAATATCCTTCTGTGTGTAAGTCACTTTCCCTTTCTAGGCTGAGAGGGCAGGATTACTTGTTTTTATTTAATTGGTTGGAGAGGAACATTTGTCACAGCCTCCTCCACCCCACCCCATGCAGGAGGCCCTGAGAACATACAGCAAGCAGGGTTCATGAGCTCAGCCGCCCCCAGGGTCCAAGTAGTGATATTCCCAGGTGGCGCTAGTGGTAAAGAACCTGTTTGCCAATGATCCCTGGGTGGGAAGATCCCCTGGAGGCAGAAATGGCTACCCACTCCAGTATTCTTGCCTGGAGAGTCCCATGGACAGAGGAGCCTGGTGGACTACAGTTCATAGGGTCCCAAAGAGTCCCATACATGACTGAAATGAATTAGCACGCATGCAGGTAATATTCAAAAGTGAAGCAAGTTAAGTGGTGGAAGTTTAGGGATTGGTATGGGCTGTGGAGACTGGAGAGCTAGTGTTCCATGTAATGGGGGTGGATTTTACTCAGTTCTAGTTTGTTGTTACCATGTAGAGATGTGGGCTTGGTTTTGTTAGACTCTCCACTTTGTTTAAGAGAAAATAGAAATTATACATTTCATTGTAAAACATTTCAACTTAATGTTGACAGCTAATACAAATTTGTTTTAAAACATTCCAAATGTTGATAGGATAAAAAAGTCCTTTGACCCATTGGTTACAAGTTTGAGACTTCCAGACCCTTAAAATGAGATTTAGTGAGTGGTATTAAACTGTGTAAACTTGTGCATAATAAATAAAACACAGAGAAAGACCACCCATTTTTTTATACAAATCATATGCATCCTTTAATCTTCACCTAGTCACTTGTTTCCTAAAGCTCTTCCCAGCTCTCTGACATCATACATCTGTACTGTCTGCACTGCACAGTTCACATTTAATGCTATGCATTCTTTCATTGTTTCTGATTTCACATGTGCAGACTTAATTCTTGCATTTAAACTTCATTGTAAACACTTTCAGGACAAGAATCATATCTAATACTTCCTTTGTGCCAACCTCAAAGCTCAATAAATGTTTGCAGTTGATACTTTTTTCATTAAGGGAAAAAGAATAGCCTTTGCTGACACACAATACTAGAAATGAGCTTAGTGTCTTGAAGTTCCTGAATTTCTAGCCTAGGCAGGCTAACAAGTTCAAATCTGTGGGCACCTTGCCCTGCTGAGCTGAGAAGCACTGACTTGCCATAAGTTTTTAAAAAGAAAGCACTTCGTAAAATGGGTGTGAATTCACCATGGTTCTTCTAGAATAACAGTATTGTAGGATGTATTTAGCCCAATGAAGGTGACCCCATCTTTTACAAGTGTGATTTTAAGTGTGAAATTTTCTGAGCCAGCTCTTATCTATAGGAAGCCTCTCAATTTAGGCAGTCAGAGAATGGTAGGCTCAATTAAAGATGGTCAAACTCACATTTCACCTTCACAAGTCAGAACTCTCTGGGCCATTTTAGATTGACTTGGTGGAGTAGAGGCATGAGCTATAATCAGCCTTACTCCAGAAATGGGTGTGCTGGGGGGTGAAGTGGAGCTAGCACTGGACTCCAGAAATGATTGACAACTACTTTTGTATCCATGTGGAAAAGGGGATGGGGTGGCTGAGATACGGCATGTACTGCAAGCCACTTTTTGCAGTGTTCTAGACATTAAAGTTATCTCTATACTGCCAAGAGCAGGCTACAAAACCAGAACAGGTGCACATGTGTGCCAGGAGGCCTGTGAATGTATCTGGGAGTGAGCCTAGAATTTTGTTTGAATTGACCAAAACTATCTAAAAGGGAAGAAGCTGGAAGAAGTGTAGATCCCCTGTGGATCCCTAAATTCCTTGAGTTTGATATGATGGAGATTACAAAGTAAAGGGGAAGAGACCAACTCTGATGAAAACTGACTCTCTGGCCAAAAAAGAAATTGTATTCTCTCCCTTACTTGTAAATAATGATAAAATACTTTAAAAGTGCTTTTACTGAAAAATCTCAGCCTCCATTTTCCTTAGATTCACAAGCACCATGCACATGTGCCTCTCAGATGTTTGTTTGCAGTTCTTATTATTTATCCATATTATTTGGTAATCTGAAAAAAGAAATCATCAAATAAATATATCACATCATTGCACTAGGAAGCAGATTTGGGGATGCAAAAAAAAATTGTAATACTTTGGTTACTAAAATTAGCACCTCCACTTGGACAAACAATACTTAAGTCAAAATAAACATTAATTAATGTTTTTCAGAATGTTTAGTTGTAACTCTGATATTGTCACTTTCTATTCAATAAAATTTATTACTAAATCATCAAATTTCCTTTTGTGCTAGTCACTATGTTGATCCAGTTGCATCTTCTTCATCTGCAAATTTAAGTTGCTAATAAAAAGCGAGGTAGAAAATATAACTCATTTATCTTTGGGATAATTGTGTTTACTCGGTCCAAAGTGCATATTAACTATAATGATAGAGTAATTTTTATTCCTCTCTTGATTGCCTCTTATTCTTCTCTCAACAGGCTTTCCATCCATTTCTTTTCTCATGAAGCTTCTTCTGGTTGGAAACTTATCAAATTTCATCAGGTAAGAAGTACTAAGTGTGAACCCGTAACATATTTCAAAAGAACTCAGGTTTAGGAAATCCAGTGATGGTGTCAGCTTTGGACAAATATCTAGAATGTAAACTGGGGAATATCCATCAGGACCCCCAGTCATTTTAGAGCAGTAGTTCTAAAGTGTGGTCTCCAGACCAACAGTAAGCATCAGCAGCGCCTGGGGAACTTGTTAGATGTGCAAACTCTCAGGCCCTGTCTTGTGCTTTTAACAAACCTGCTAGGTGATTCTGATGTACACGTGAGTTTGAGAACCACTGTCCAAGATAGGCTTCATGGATCAAAGGAACAGAAATCCTCTGGATTGATGGAATTTGATGGATTTGATATCTCTTCTTCCTTTCTTTCCTCTTTTGTCTTTTCCTCCTTCCTGCAGGTTTATCCATTCCTCATTTAGCAACCAAAATTGGCTTCACAGAATCATCCTTCATTACAAACACACTGTCTTTATGACAATGTAAGTGTTATCTAATATGGGACTCCATCAAAACTAGGCATTCAGTAGACATTATCAACTAATTAACTGATTTAAACCCTTGTTTAGCTTTGAGAAGGAAAGCTTCTGTAATTCACAAAAGACATAGTTTTAAACAGGTGCCTATCTTCTAAGATGGTTGCCTTTAATACCTGGTATCCATGAGACATGCTCTCTATAAGGGAAGTTATTATTTTTATGTGGGCTGAAAGCTTTGAATTGTTACCTCAAGAGTCATTTGCAAAGGATTGTATTTTCAAAAGGAGCTCATGTTTTCTTGTATTTAGAATATGTTTGAGGTCTGTGCACTATCCATTATCTCCAATTCCAGTGGCCAGTTTAGATAGCTCTCCAGCAGCCATTCATGTCCAGCCTTGCTATAATTTGGTGTCACCCTGGGAATACTTGAGCCACCTGGTGGCTCAGATGGTACAGAATCTGCTTATAATACAGGTGACCTGGGTTTGATCCCTGGGTTGGGAAGATCCCCTGGAGAACGGAATGGCAACCCACTCCAATATTCTTGCCTGGAGAATTCCATGGACACAGAAGCCTGGCAGGCTATAGTCCATAGGGTCACAAAGAGTCAAACATGACTGAGCCACTAGTGAGCATGTAACTGGGAATACTTATGAATTATCTGCTAAATCTAAAATGAGCGTGCATGAGGATGCTGTCATTCTGAAATAATTGCTAAATGCTGCCCCCTATAATACCTCTGCTGAAGATACCCCTCATTTGCAAATATATATGTGGTTTATTCTCTATGCCATGCATATTTCTTTAGCAAGTAGACTGCAGAGTCTCTAAAACTCAGTTTCCTTATTTGTAAAATGTAGATAATAGAATCTACTTGTTAGTATTGTAAGAAATAATGGTGGTAATTCAGGAGCACTTAGCACAGTGGCTGACTCAGTAAATATTTAGCCATGATTAAAGATCATTTTATTAATAGAATTATAAACTCAAAATTTTCACGTAAAAAAAAAGTCACTTCAGACTTCATCCTATTAAAAACAAGCACATCAGGGAGAGATAAAGTGTATCTCCCTCGCATGATTCTACCACAAGTACATTGTATTTTCCATGGAGATTTGTTGTTGTTTTTGTCAGCTCCTTGCTTTCTGTTCTCCTAGTTACTTGGCCAGTGCTGGGATTCTAGCATGGCACCAGGTAGAATTAAGGACATGAGTAAAGTGTGGAAATCCATCATCCATAGCCTACCTGTATGGCTAGGAGATCATGGAATAGTGCCTGATATTATTTTTGCCCTTTGGAGCAGAATACAAAAGTTCATGTGCAGGCAGCAGAAGGTCAAAGGACCTGAAGAATGCCTTGAAAGGTGATTTACCTCCCAGCCTCTATTCAACTTACAAAGCAAAGCATGTATCCAATTTTAAGGATTTCTGGAGAAGAGAATTTCCCTAACCTTTCATTAAATGCTAATAGAAATAGATAAAAGTTACATATGATTATGAAATCTCATAATGAAATCATTATGAAATCTCATTTTGGCATAAGTTTAAATATTTCTTAGAGAGACTATAGGATATGCTAGCAAGATCCAGTTCCATCTATGAGAAATAGATGGCTTTGGCAAGAGAAGGGATGCAGAGATAGGAGAAGAGATTCTTAGAAGAGAGGTTATGTAAAGCTTTAAGCTTATATACATGTCCAATAAACAAGAGATTTCTGAGTATGAATCAGTGACATGGAGAAATGAGAAACATCTGGAACTGGTACTTATTTTTATGGTCAGAAGCACAGTTTTGAGGTCCTTTGTTGAACTGTTGACTTTGTAAAGACTTATTAAAAACAAATGCCTAAGGTGACTGAGAAGAGAATGTAGTTGAATTTGGAACACAAAGTCCTTAAAGGGAAGGCTTTCATTTTAAGGAGTTTTTACTTTCCATCAACTCAGCTTAATGCTGTTTCCTCAAATGAGTCCTTTTGTTCCATTTCAATACACACTTGAAGAGTCGAAGGCTTACAGACCATTTTAATTTAATAGTAAATTTTTGAAGAGAGAAAGGGGACTCATTTTCTTCATATGTTTAAGTTATATGATTTGTCCTTAACCAATCCTCTCCTTTCCACATGCACACAAATAATTGTCTAAGGAAAAGGGGATCTAGTTGATGCTAGCCCTTATTTTATTATGGGCACAGCTGGGATTTACAAATGAGGTTGTTTCCCTCTTTGGTTTCTGAAGAAGATTAGTTCTGTGGGCAGATTAGTTCTGAGCCTTCTAGCCAGGATAGACCAAGGAGCACAGCAATGGGTTATGGGTTAACCCCCCTGGGTTCCCAGATGACATTCTCACGTACCCTTGCTGGGCCTGGAACTAGTCACTTGCTATAAGAAAAGCAGGTGTTCCAGGACAATGAGGTGATCTTGTGTTGAGATTTAGAGGGGGCCACCTCTAAGAATTATTTCCTGCTGATGCCCTGCCATGCCTTTTATCACCCCTTCTGCCTGTATGAAGTGAGGGAGAGGGTGGAAGGAGGTATGGTAAAAAGAGACAGAGGAAATGTTTTGAGGTGACATAGATATTTCAGGAATACTCTCCTCCCTCATTGATTTGCTACTCTCCTCAAATACTTCACAAAAAAAGGAAATGTTGGAAGGAGCCAGATCTCAGGGAGGCTGTAGAATGGAATTGTACATTTAGCATCACAAACTGGGATAATGAAATTCTGGTAGTGTGCTAAATTCCCATCACGCTTCTGCCAAGCCAGCCTCGTGCTGGTCTTTGTATTCAAGTTACAGTAATAAAGACAGTCCCCATGTCTCCTGTTTTTTATACTCAAGTTATTAAATTCAGCAGTATGGACCCTTTATTTTATAGGAGGCAAGGCAGGGGGCAGATGACCACTTACCAAGACCATCATTCTCATAAAAGAGTCAAAGAATTGCCATATGTGGGTCAGACCACAGGCCTGGCTGTTTCTCCAGCTAAGTAGCCTGATTCTAAAATGACAACCTGAGACAGCTGGGTGGGGGGTAGGGGAAGATAAGGTTGCTTTCTATGAGGAATTCCCAGAATCCCACAATATTTAGTTATTGTTAAATTCATATCCCATTCAACCTATTTTTTTCTAATTGGAACATCTCTTGTTCCAGTGGGTAGCAGAATTACGACCCACTGTGTGAGGTCATGATTTTTTTCATTTATGCAAAAGCTACCTTTGACTAATCTTTGGGGAAGGCCCATGCTGTGTTCACCCTGCCCTTTACTTTATTGTTTTGTAAACATCAGTCTTCTTTGCCTTCAACCTTCATCTTTTCAGACTGAAAGGTGCAACAAGCTCTCCCTCACCATAGCAACTATGTAGTTCCCTCTTCTGGACCTGCTCTGGAGTTTATTGCCCAAAGTATTCCAAGCATAGAACAGAGTATATGCAGAAGTAGAATATAAATATTCACAGAGCCTTTAAAATACCCTAGAAAAAAAAGGTCTCTTTTTTTAGATCTATATGCATTTTGTATTGCTAAAGTAAAATGTAAACCTATTCTTTTATGTAAGACCAATTTGGATTTTTTCATCATGGTACAGAGCATATAAAACTAACTTATTTATACCTGGAGAAGTAATGCCCCATCAGTGACCCAAAATGGCTACCAGGAACAAGTTTATGAGTCCTACCTCATAGCTGAGAATTGTTTAAATTGTAATTTTAAGATGATTTATTATTTGAATTTTAAAATATGGCTTACATTTTAATTTTAATGTCCAGAGACAGTCTAAAAATTTGGAGGAAAAGAATTAAAGCCAATATGTGATTCTACCTTATCTAATGAGATAATTTTTTGGAAGACAGGCTGTGACTATAAAGGTTGCTTTATCCGCACTCCTTGAGCATTAGGACTTTTTTGCACCACTTGGGTTAGGGTGGCTTTCACTTCCCCCACAGGTGCTCCCCAGCAGAAGGGAATGGAATTTCGCTTCCCTTTCCAGGGCCTCCTGAGGTGAGGGCTGTAAGAAAGTGTCCTCCGGGGACTTGAGGGGTACTTACCAAACTGTTCCCATGTTCACCAGATTTACAGAACTTAAAAATTTTACAGAACTTTTGGTCACAAAAATGTTTTCTTTGGGAAATGCTAAAGGATTTGCTTTCCCTCTTCACCACAATGGCAGGAATACAGAGCTTTCTCATGATTTTTTAATAGGATACAGCTGCCCAAACTGCAGTGCCTTCTGCTAGGACTCTGCCTCATTTTTCACTTGCAGATGCCAAGAACTAACTAACTCTCCATCTCTCTCTCTCGCTCTCTCTCTTTGTCATACCCAGCGAAAGCTCAGCAACATGAATGTATCTTTGTGAACATGGACCTATCAGTATGTATTCCCAAATGGAGCAAATGCCACGTTATTTCAGGCAGTTTGGTCTGGTCTGCTCCCACATTCTGTAACAAGGTAGATGTCCACTGGAGACCCCTGTCAGCTCCGGGGAGCTGGCAGCACATGGGTGTGGTCAGGAGCCAGAGCGAGTCCG